ATTAGTAAAACTTGTAATTGCAATAACTGGTCTTAATGACATAACACATCATTGTGTGCAGTACTGACGTGTAGTGGGTGCCATAGCGCGGTCCTCTGATGTGACCCACTCCATTACATCCAGGGGTTGGACATCCTTGTCCAGGGGGCACTATTACCTCACAAGGGGCTGAAACAATTAGAGACTCAAGTTACAAATACAAATAGTATTTTTTGCATTTCATTGCAAAAACACTTTGAACACATTTTCTGCCTAAATAAATTGTGGGAGGGCTGAGAAAATCAAGTTTGTTAAATGGTGTTGTGCATAAAAGGACGCATTAATTCCCTGTATGTTTAACTTTAAGACAGTGTTGATGTCTTTTTATATTTTGTGAATTAAATAAAATAAAATTAATATACTTAAATGTTTATGTGTGCATACCATTGGGATATTCAAGGGGATGTCCAGTTTTCTGACACCATCCAACAGGGTGAATATCTGGACAGTCTGTTTCTACCCAGTAGTCGTACTCTGAGCTCCAACCGTCAAAATGAATCTATCAAAGGGGAAATTTGGTAAAATATATTAAAAATAAAACTTTATATTAGATAGAAGGTTTGATTTAGACTGTACACGTGTTCAAATGAATGAGAAAATAAAAGCAACACAGCACACATTTACCTTGAGTCTGTGTTCTTCTGTGTCAGCGATCGTTGCTACACGAATAAGCATCGGATTTCTCTTGTCCACTGCCTCGAGCTTCATGCCGATCTGAAATCCATGAGGAGGTCGCTGGAAAATGTGGGAAATATTATTACTCACACTAAAACTCAACACAAAATGTGTACAAACATGTTAACGTGAATGTGTCGTACTGGTTTGAAGGCACGTGCAGGAGCGGCTTGTGTTCCCGTCTCCTCCAGGTACTTCTCCCACGAGAAACTCTTGGGCTGCTTGTATTCTGATTAAGAAATAATGTTTATTACTTTCTGTCAAAAATAAAAACTATAAAATTAACACAGACATAAAATACTCAATAGAGGTGTGCTTAATGATTAAATTATTTATTTCTATTGCAGATAGAGATGTTAAATAACAAACCACATAAAAATAAATATGCCTCATAGATAAATATATTTACAAATATTACTGTTTAAGTGTATAACTGATGATCTGTTCATGTGTTTATTTTCTTTAAGACAGTTTGATTTCATAAAACCACTGTCTTGACATGTGTTTTATAGTCTATAGCCCAGGTAACGATTAACAAAATGAAACAAGTGATTATTCATGATTATTCTGATTAATTATTGCCAACCTGATACTTAATTACTACAACATTACCATATAATTTCTACATATTAATATTTAATGTAAATACCATTATAAGTAAGTACAGCATGTATCATTTAAAAGGTTGTTCAAGTCCACATGTTTTTGTCTTACCCGCTGGTGTGGTGAGGGGCAGCTCAGCCTCTTCACAATATCCTACAGGATGAATGTACGGACATGTGGCATCGCACCTTAATACAAAGTCTGAGTTAAACACCAAACTGTCAAGTGTTGTGATCCTCAAGAGACAAGAACAATATTTTTATTTACCAGTAATCGTATGTGTCGTCCCAGTTGTCAAAATGAATTAGAAGCCGATTATCAACAACAGCAGCGATTGTAGCAACACAAACTAAGGGCGGGTTCTTTCTGTCCACAGCCTCCAACTTCATCCCAGTCCTGAACCCAGACGGAGTGACGGACTGTAAAAAAAAACAAAAAACACAGAATTAGAATTTGTTACTATTAATTAATTACAAGACATTTGTTTAAAAGTGCCTATATTAAGCAAATTGACTCTTGTGAGCTTTAAGTCACGTTATAATGTTATGACATCATGAAAAACATTTTTTTTTTGTGTTTGCATTTTCTTTTATTGAACCATGTTTGAGTGACCCTTTATCATTAATCTGTGGTCAGTTAGGGTTTGTGTGAATGAAACAAAATACAACTCCAGGTTTGTTTTGGATGAGGAAACAACATTATGACATAGATCAGAAAATAGCGTAATATAGCCCCTCTAAAAGTGTTACTACTTACAGTGTTGAGGCTTTTAAAAAGATGTTTGGGAGCCAGCTGACCTCTGCAGTTCTTCACATACATGCTCCAATTAAACTCTCCCTCTTTACAACCTAAAACACAAGGTGGGATTTAATTATTTCTTCAAACTGCATTTCCTTTTTTCTATCTGTATCACATAATTCAGGTAATGACTGTACCTTTAGGCAGCAATAACTTATGCCCATTCTTTTCACACCACCCTGCAGGTTTTAGATCCCACGAGTCTGCATTGGCCCAAAAGTCATAGCATTCAGGATATCCATCAAAGTGAAGTCTTACTCTGTAGCCTTGAATCTGAAAGTGGGCCATACATTATTAATACAAAGAAGGCGCGATCACGATTTATCACCATTATGGGCTTCAGTGAAAAAAGTGATGAAAATCTGCACTGTGGCCATAGTTATCAACAATTCAAAACAAAATATTACATCCTTTGAAAGTTCAAAAGTACTTCAAATGTCATCCTTACACAGAAAGATGAAACCCAAGAATAGCCAAGAAAAGACAAAGGTTTAATGGCATATACATTTAAAAATAAGCAACATTTTCCAAAAATAATGCGTAAATATATGTGTTTAATTTATTATAATGATGTTACATGAGCATTTAAGATTGTAATTTAATGTAATGTACATTGACTTCAAGCTGATAGTTAATTAATAAAGAACGAATTAAAAAAAAAGAAGATAAAATCCCAATTCCTATGGTACCTCTGAACAAAAACATTCACAAAAATCACAACATAATAATAATAATTGTATGCACTGACCTCAGCAACGGTGAGCACGCAGAAGAGGGAGGGGTGACATGGGTCCAGTCCCTCCAGCTTCATTCCCACTTTGAAACTGTTCCTGCTTTGGGGAAAGGACTGGTGCTGAAAAACAAAGACCACCAAATATTTGTCAGAAAATGCTTACATTTTTTTATTATTCAGTCAGATTTACTATTACAAAGTATGTTTTAAGTGATTTTATGTAATTTACTACCTGCCATGCCATTGCTTTGCCTGGTATGTTCTAAATAGTGAATACATTTAAATCTTTCAATTAACTACAGCTGCTTATAGTAGAAAAATAAAAATCTTGAAAAGCACCTGTAACTACTGGAGATAGACAAGAATAATGCCCTACAGTGAAACATTCCAGGAAGAAGGAATAAAATGTCCATGGAGACTAAACAAAACAATGATACCTCTTTGAATAATTTCACAGGTGCAGCGACAGCCTTTTCCTCTTCCAGGTAAGACGGCCAGCTCCACGCACGTTTCTTATTTGGTGGAGCTAATCCTGAAAAGCGACACAAAGTTAATGATTAATATAGATTTTTTGTACAGATTTTTGTATATAGATCAATATAGATTTTTTGTTCTATGTTAAATTAAGTCCACTTACCAAGTTTGGGCAGTTTTGGACCCCTTTTCCCTTTGGAGGACTTTAATTTTTCCTATGTGAAAACAAAAAAACATTACTTACTCTAGAAGTAATAATAATTACAGAAAAGCATGCATAATTAACTAACTAACTAAATAAATAAATACATACATAAATGCAGTTAATAAAAAAGTTTACCTCTGGCTCCTCTTGATTGTCTTCTTCTTCGTCACCAGAATCCATATAGATCTTTCTTTTCTTACGAATTCGTTTTCCAAGTCCCTCGCCTCCTGTTGCCTGGCTTTCCCTATTTTCTGCTGGAGATGACCTACAACAAATAACAAAATATTAACTAAAAAAGATACTAGTAATTATCACTAAAGGGCCTCAGAAGAAGAATTTTCATAATTTTTTTCCCCATAATTTTCAAATAAATCATAAAGGCGAATCAGCTTTGTAATGAATATTTGACACACATTTTATTTACAATAATGAACAATGAATATAATTCAACTTTCTAAATCCTAAAATAAGGAAGAAATATAGAGAATTTTTAGCTGTAAGTGTTTTGGGACTAAAAATAACCACATAATGGACATCCACCATGCTTTGTAACTCTTGGTATGTTATGTTATCGTTTTATTTGTAAAACTTTCTCCAAGACAAAATTATAGGAAAGATTCTGGTGCCGAGTTGTAGCATTCATGCTACTGTACACCTACAGACCCTGAACAGGTTGGTGGAAATAGTGAAAATACAAATTCAATGTAAATAGATAAAATTACCACAAAAACTAGGGTTGTTTAGGGCCATATAATGCAATATTCTTAATATTTAAACTGAAGTGTATGGGAAAATAAAATTTACTCCTAAAACCCAAGTGGGCTTTGAGGTAAACAGGACTGGGGCTTCACAGATTAGGTACATTTTGGTTGGATTATTAGACAGTTGTGTGACCTTACCTGCCGCTGGAGGGCTGGGCGCAGATGGAACTGCAGTATTTGGACTGGACCAGTGCGTCCCTGGCCACGTTTCCTCCACACGCTGCACACCGCACCAGCTCCACGTTTGAGCCAGTTTCAGCGGACGCTGCCACCTCAACACTTGGACCACCCTCCACGTTCAGACCCTCCATACTGGGGCTGCTTTCACCTAAACACAATCAAACAGCCTCAAATTTAGGACTGTATTCGACTAAAAGACATGTCCTGTTGTTCAATTTGTTGACTAAAAAGGAGGTGTGGCAGATTATAATAAAATCTGTGTATTGAAAAGACCTAAGCATACAGGATCACTCTTGTATGTGAGTGAAACAAAACAACTCCAACTAGGGCTTTAAAAGTATTTGGTTTGGAGCAGAATTAAGATATTGGAGGGAGAAACCAGACTATGCTTATGTGTTAATGATAATGGTTTAAAATCTGAATTGTTTAATTACTGAAAATCATAACTGAAAGTAATTTTATATGATTTTAATAAGAAAAAATTAAATTGAGTCAAAACTTTATGGTCACTCAATGTGAATCTGAAGATTTTTTTGGGGGGATAAATCCTTTAGTTATAATGCTTAAGTTGTTTTTGATAAGGGAACACTACACAATATTGTTAATTTCACCTAATATGTGACCTATATATGACATAGCTTTCATTACTTTGGGATGATCCTGGCTGTGAGGGTTTGGGGATGGGTGTGGCTGTGGCGGAGGCAGTCTGTCCCTCTGGTGGTGGAGTAGGACTGTGAGACACTGGCGCGTTCAGGGTCCCGCTCTTAGGCTCGGTCTCTTGCACTTTGGTCTCCAGATCGGTCACTATTTCCAGTGTCCCAAACTCAGTCATTCGAAACTATGGAAATGTAAAAAGAAATTTAGAAAACTTAAAACAATATAGTACATAATAATTATCCTATTTACTTTTGTAAATGTATTAATTATTCATACAGTTATATAGATGTATTGTTTTTTTGTGTGTGTATGATTAAATATTCTGTGAAAAATATATGTGTGCATAAAAAGTAATAGAAATTACATTCCATCATTTTGGAGTTGTCATAAATAAATAACACTTTAGATAAATAAGTAACTACTTATTAAATTAACCTTGATGTCACTGCCAGGGAGAGTAGCAATGCCGTCCTTCCAGTCCAAAGCACCCATCATATCAAACTCAGTTCCCTGAGAAGGGCCATCACTCGGTGGAGTGTCAGTCATTACCAACCTGAAAAAACAACAACAAAAACACAAATACTAGACTGAATAATTCACTTAGATGAAAGCCAATATGTCCAACATGCATCACGCCATGCCAAAACGGTGCTAAAAATAGTGTTATTTTAAACTGAAGTGAAGGTAATGATTTAAAATGCCCTCCTGGTTTAAGGTTAATATATTTGTTGACCTATGTACACACTCAAAGATTAACAGCTTCTCTGTTAGCACAAGTTCATAGACTTCAGCAAGACAGACACAGTGTTTGACCACAGCTTTAGCATGTTTGTAAAAGTCAAGAATAACCATTTGAAGTGTACAGTTTCAGTTCTCCATGCCATCTGCTTTGTAGCACTATGGGTTATTTGGGGATTTAGATGATTACAGATGATTTAGCCAATGCCTTTGGATGGCGCATTGTGTTTCTTTGGGCTCAGCTGGACTCTTGCACTAACAGGCACTAAAAACATCGCGTGCCCTTTTATTGAATGACTGCACTTGTAAACAGTGCACTGTGCAACATCCCCGCTAGATGGCGCATGTGCATGGGCGACACCGTGCACTTCGATTTCAGACAAACAGTGCAACATATTATTGTATTTATCAAATGAATCATCAGTACATGACCGTACAAATAGTCTTAACAGTCAAAGGCCCTGTCAAAGCGATCATGAAACACAACAAAATGTGAGTCAACTTTATGTTAGGCACACAAGTTTGTGTTTTCCTTGTTTTAACAGTATCTGTAAAAAGCGCTGCTTTTCCAGCTTAAAAACCATCAAGAGTGATGATCTTCAACTGGATTTACAACGAACACTGACTTGTGTGATGATTTGTTCAACTTCATTCTGGTTTTATGATATTAATATGACGATATAACGTTTTAATCTTCCTGCCCATTTAAGACTAAACTAAGAGCATATTTTGAAGTGTCATGGTAAGAATAAGCCCGTGTAAAGTTATTAGCACCATGGCCTTAACAGTCCTGGTCGGGTTTGGCGATATACTGAAGACCTTAGTTTTATTCTAGCAGTAAATGAAGTGTATGTAAGAGCGCCCATGATTAGCATTCGTCTTATACAAAATGGCGGAGCATAGGAAGAGGCCACCAACACGTTAAACTATAGAAATTACTCAACTTACAATTTAAACCAAATTCAAAAATGCATGTGCGGGTCCTGCAGAGTCATGTCGTTGTAATGCAATTTTAGAATCAATTGTTTTCTTCCGCTCTTGAGATTTTCTTCACTTTCCCCTTGTCACGGAATGTCAGCCCAGGTTTAGCTAGCGCAGACATGAAGCTAGCAGCAGCTAGCCTTCTCCACTCAAATGAACGGAGGAGTGGGCTAGCCGTAGCATTGTGAGTGACTGATGCAGCCAGCTAAGGACAATCTGTAATAAATAAGTTTCTGGCGCAATAATAACATGAAAGGCTATGTGCAAAAATATTTGACACAGAACGCACTAACTCCCAATAACATTGCATCACTCGAATCCGTTCATACGGTGTTGCTTGATTAATTTTCTTCAATAGAAACTTGAAAAAACGATTTATTCTTGCCGTTTTAAATCAGAGTATAAATTGTGAAACTACAAGTAAATAAGAATATGCACAACAATGTCTAATTTTGTATATGTTTAGCTCAATTAAGAAGAAATAACAGCATTATTGTTTAAAAATTGTGCAACTCACCTCGTTTCTGTTTTAACTCTTATTTAGAGCTGGATAGAAGGATGCGCATGCGCGTAAGATGCGCTGCTGACAAGTTTGGATCTCGGAAAAGTTGAGTTCAGTAAAGGCGGTCAATAACACACTTATGTGGACATAAGACCGTCGCCATAGCTGTTTAAGATATTACTCAACCATATCTGCCCATTTTTTAAGCCCCAAACCATAAAGATCCATTAAAAGTACGAGAGATAAAACCACATGCGCATGGCGAGAACGGAGCGACCGCAGTGTGTTCTGCCGTTGAGATTAGGAGCGGTAGTTCCTTTCTGTGAAAATAATGTTTTACCTGCATCTTCTACTCAATAAACCTCTATATTTACAGCTCTTTTACGAAAACAAGTTGATCAGAACCCATCAAATCTGAAACCGATGCCATATAAATGCTGATACAAACGCGCTCTAAAATGTGCAGAATTATTTCCTAAATCGAGCAGCTCATCGCAGCACAGTAGTTATAATTGGCTGTGAACGGGGCTGGATGTGAGTTAGATTAAACATACTGCCCCTCAAGTCTTTAAACCTCGATTGTTTGTTAGTGTAGATGTGCGACACAAAATTTAAGCAAAGTCATTATGTAAAACAAGCCTGCATCAGTACCTAGACTCTCACAGTGTAGTTTTATCGTGATTAGTGTCTCTCTTGGTGAATCCAGTGGCTCTGAATCTCCATCTTTAGTTAGTGTGTGTTTACGGTTAGCGCAGGTTGTGTGCAGGCTAGCGATCCCAACTTGCTTTCAATTTTAACAATTTCAGATGTTGATAATCCCTTTACACTTGGTATAATTTAATGTAATTGCCCAGTCTTGTCAAAAATCTTCAATTTAGCCCGTAGTATATTATTTATTTTGTAGCAAAAGCCAGTTTCAGCTCTGCGCATAGCCCCCGTTGAGGTGCAAGGATTACATTAAAATAACCAACAATCGACCACAAGAAACTAGAAAAAATAACAATTTGATGTGATGTTTTGTCTGTTTGCCTGGTTTTTCGGTCAACAAAGACAACCAAATACAGCATGAGGTGAAATGAGTTCGGCGTTTGCAGAAAGAAGCGCACTTCCCACATTGGGCACTAGGTGGCAGTAAAAGTCCATCTATTTAGACAGGAGGATGGGGATTATCAGTGGTGAGCTGCGTTACTGGGAATATCTCAGTGCACAATAGAAATTAAACGACAAATATGAGATGGCATTCAATGGAAAGGCGGTCGACTCTAAGGTAACGTATTCAGTCAGGTAACGAGTTGTTTATTTTGTTTTTCTGCAAATCAATGAACGCAGATCGTGACCAAGAATAGTCAGCGACCATAAGCTACGTGAACAGTCATGCTATAATAATGAGAGCACTAGATTGTATAAATAAAGGCGTAATGTGTAATGTGTATATTTAGGTCTAGTTTACACTTATTATAAGTTTGTTTTTACAGACCGTGTTTTTCAACCTGCTGCTGTGCCTGATCATCTTCTACAGCCTTTTCTATATGATTGGGAGCGTGTGCTTTGGTGCCTTCAGGTAAGATATACGCATGCGCATAACAAAAACTACTTTCTGAGTTTCACCAACAGCATTACATATTTGGACATGTAATTCTAAACACCCAACTTTGAGCCATATATTTGAGTGATCATCGTGTATAATTAGTTGTTTGACAACTCCCTCCTACGTTCTGTTTGATGCAAAGTGTGTGGTTTTGGGTGGCCAGGCAACACAATTACAAGGTTAAGAGTTGAATTTCAGCTCTGGCACATGTAGTAGTAGTTTATTTTCGTCATTAACTTAATAGGAATTAATACAAACATTTCACATAAAACTATTACTAAAGGGGTTTAACCACTTGACTAGCCTATTTACAAATTGTGATGCCAAGCATACAGCGGTCAAGAAACACCAACAATGGATAGAACACAAAACACTCATGAGTTCAGTACAGCAGATATACAGTTTCCTTCAAAAATATCCTTTCTTATCAACATTTACCCTATACATATTGCTGTGCAAGACACTGCACATGCTGACAGTGGATCAGTGGTTAGAGAAGTGCTCTACCAACTTGAGTTATTTTGTTGAGTCCTTAAGCAAGACACTTCACCCACCATGCCTGGTATGAATGTGGTGCAGTAGTCCAGGTCCAGCATTTCAAGGCCTCAAATCAACTGCTTTTCTCTTTTTGCAGGTTGAATACATTTGATGGTCTCATCCCATTTGATTTCAAGAGTGATCCAGCTGAGTCAAACTCAAAATATTTAGGTAAAGTTGCATCGTTTCTTACAACTTTCAATGCATAGCTGCTTTTGCCTTCCAACTTTTTGTTCCTTTCAGTGAACCTTGTGTCTTTGGAGCTCACATACTTTTGTAGTGGGCTTTTATTTGCAGCAGTGGTGAGGAGGCGCGTGTGGGACTATGCCCTCACTGTCACTCTCCTGCACGTTCTCATCACCAGCCTTGGTAAACTCACTTAAAGGTTAATTCAAACTGATTTGAATGAAATGTACTAATAGTTAAAACTCACAGTTGTTGTTTCTTTTGCAGTAATGATGGAGTTTCCAATGGTGTGGCAGTGGTGGCTTGCTTTAGGTAGGCAAGTCAAATTTCACAAAATCCTTGCACCAAGTACTCCATGAGAGGCAAAATAAGATATGACTAACAATCAACTTTCAGGTTCCTTGTATGCACATTCATATATTTTCCATTAATAAAAGAATTAAAAATGGTTTTAAACTGAGACTTTACAATGTCTTAAATCAGGTCTAAACTCACACTGTTTTAGAATTAAACCAAGGCCAGCTTTAACAAGTACCAAAAAAAGTAGATTATATTCCTGGGTTTCAGATGACATCACAACATTATATGGACCAATATTATTTTATACAAATGAAGCAACTAGAACCAATATTGTTAAAATGTTAATTTCTGTTGTAATACAATAAGTATTAATAGTTATTAACAGAAATGATCAGGTTCAACATTTGTGCAATTTCCTTTGGGGCATTTCACAGGAAAATACATCATCACATTGAATCTGAAAACCACCAATATTGTAATCTGCTTTCTCCTCAGGTTGTGGATTGTTTTTGATGATCTGCAATGGACAACTTATTGCCTACTTCACCTGCCAAAATGACCAGACCTACTCTTCATTTAGCATTTATTAATATTTTAAAGAGAAGTGATGTTTCTATTAAAATGTCACTTCATTTTCTGTTCTTGTTTACAAAAAGCTAATTTATTCAGTGTTATGATGATGAAAGACTAGATGCCAATCAAGAAATGTATATATTTTTTAAATCGTCAGGATTTTTTTGCTTTTTTTTTTTTTGGTGCGTACAAAGTCAAAATTTGTGAAATGTGTTTATCGTGTGTAATTTAAATGTTTTGAAAATGTGTATGTTGAAGAAATACAACTTACGTAAAAAATATAAGCATTGTTTATTGTGTTAAGTAAAGTTAAAGTTAAATAACAAAAATATTGCACAAGTTTCTAAAAATGTTCATGTAAATTAGCAAAAAAAATACAAAGAATAAAAAAACAGTCTTGTTCAGTTATTCAGTCATAGGTCATATTTTTCGTTAAAAGTACAGTATAATAAATTAATAAATAAAAAAACAAACAGGACTTGATGATTTTATGAAACCATCTCTGTTGGGTTCATGTATGAGAATCCAGGGAAGACCTCACTGGCGCCCCCTGGCTGTGTCCTTCCATTGACACCGATGGATGCAGGCACAGGCTGTAATGTAAACTCTGGATCGATGTAGCAGAGGTCACATGGGCCAGACTGTGGGAATAAAGCGGAAGTAACGAATAAGGATCAGAAAACTCTTTAAATTTCATAAAAAACTATAAATTAACTCATATATATTTATAAATGTGATAAGATTTGTAAGTGAATCTGTATCTGATGGAGTGACTATTTACTTAGAATTATTTTTTTTAAGTCATAAGTAGTAGGTTTAGGTTAGTTGTTCAATTAATTCGCAGCCTCTTAGTGTAAAGCTTGCATTTTCTCCTTGTGCTCATCCAATAACCAACACTGACCCAATTCTCCAGCTAAATACTCCCAGTTCCTATAGCTAAATAATTGGGGACAGATCTTTGAAATAGATCAACAAATGAAGAGGACAATAACACCAACCTGAACTCTAGACTTATACTGGAATGTCTGTGAGCATATAAACCTAACCCCAACATTGAATCCAGACCAGTATGCATTTGTGTTTTTAAAATTTACTCACCACATTTGGAATGAATGGAGGTGTTATCTTCTTGGCTAAAAGATCGTCCCAGTTAATGGCTGCAAAGAAAGGGTGCTCCTGGAGTTCAGTCTGAAATAAAAAAGAAGAATTATTACAATAACGTTAATAATTTGACCATGCATTGATGTCAGTTAAATATTACGGGTGCAATTATACTAACCACGTCAGAACTAACTCCTAGTCGCGTGGTCACATCTCGGTTCAACAGTCCTTCTAACAGAGAGCGAGCGGATTCAGAGGCTCCACTGGGAACCTTCAGAGGAGCGTAGAGAATGTTTTCAAACATCTCGACTTTGTTCTGACTGTAAAATGGAGGCTAAAGGGGGAAATAAAGGGAAAATAGATTAATGACTTTCTATTGAAATCTTAATATGTGTACGGTGACCACTTAAAAAACTGTGGAAAGTCAAATTAGTAAACTTTACTTTTCAGTACCACAATTGTTCAGTTGTTAAAAGATACAAGCTATTAACAAGCAATGTGTTATTTTGTTTCCAAAAAATTTAAACTGAGAATTATAGGGTAGCAATGAGTACAATCATATTCAAGACAAGTGAGATAAGATAAGATGTGTGTAATTCAAATATGAAATGCAGATTTTATTCTGTTACTTATGTTAAATTATTCGTTAAATAAAAAACAGGGCATTCTCTTGATTAATGAGAGAGAGTGTAAATGTTGTTGCAGTGAAACCAAAAGTGGGGCATGTGCTCACAGTGGGTATAGGCCTAAGTCTAATTTAAGATTCTACTCACAAGGCTGAAGAGCATCTCAAACAGGACACTGCCCAGGCTCCACCAGTCCACGGCCGGGCTGTAGGGCTGCCCCAGGAGCACCTCGGGAGCTAGGTACTCTGGAGTACCACAGAATGTGTGCATGATGCCTCCAACCGCTACCCCTTCTTTACATAGCCCAAAGTCTGTCAGCATCACGTGACCATCACAGTCCAGCAAGATGTTCTCTGGTTTGAGATCCCTGTAAATATATTAAAGGTTATGCTACTGCTATTAATACAACGACTACTACAACTACTGGTACTGCTACTACTACTGCTAACATCATTAAATCTACTACTTAATCTACTACTCACCCAAACATGCAAATCATTTTAATTGTTGAGAGTCACATTTTCATATCAGTTCAACCATAGCAGCAAAAATAATCAGTTCTTCTTCATGTATTTACCTGTAAACTATTTTTAATGAGTGAAGGTAACCGAGAGCCGATGCCATCTCCGCGGCATAGAAAGCTGACCTCGCTTCAGTAAAGGACCCCTCTCTTTGCAGATGGAAGAAAAGCTACAAAAAATAATTCAGTAAATATGACGATGAATCTGAACAACATGAATCTCAACAACAACAACAACAGGTGTGGGTTAAATTGGCTTAGACTAGGACTATTTGAGAATAGGATGACCCCATGGTTTACAATTACTTTGCGAAGAAATGTTGCAATGCCAGACAGGTTTTGCATACCTCGCCCCCGTTGACGTAGTCCAGAACGAAGTAGAGCTGGTTGGGTGTTTGGAACGAGAAGTGAAGCCCAACCAAAAAAGGATGATCCAGCCCCTTCAATAAGACACTCCTCTCCACCATCACGTGCTTCTGCTGCAAAGGTGATAGTCAGACAGTCAGGGATAAATGTGCACTCTGTAACCTTTCTAGTGGAGATGTTATTGGTGTGTCTGTTATTTTCTACAGTACAGTACAGCCATTAAAACTAAACTATCTTGCATTTATTCAATTACAGGTGTTTTTTACTGCTCAGAAACATACATTCTGTCCACCTGTCCATAGATCTGACCTATAACTTGGCCTGTTTGTGTTACTTGTCTATGTAGACTAGAGATATCATCATAGAGATAAATGTTTAATGTAATACTGTGTAACATTCCAAGCAATGCAATAACATCTCTAAGTGCATGAATCAGCTACAAAAATATACCTCTCTCCTTTTCACAATTAAATCCTTCTGCAGCACTTTTACAGCGTAGTAGCCTCCTTGTGTTCTGTGTCTTGCAAGAAGCACCTGCAAGAAAGCAATAATTAAGTCTAAGTCAACATTTAAGTCTAAGTCAATATTTTATGTGATCAAAATGAGTATTACTTCAAAAAACTAAAATCTCACCTTCCCAAAACTTCCTTTTCCAATTAGTTTCAGATAGTCAAAATCAGATGGCTTCATTCTGTATATAGAATAGATTAGAATAAGTTACTGTTTTAACAATATTTAACAATTATTCTTTTTTTTTTTAGAAGTAGAGGTGGGTAAGATAGTGTCCAAATTTTGTGGTTTTGAAGATATGTCAAATTTGAATACTGGGCATTTTCTTACAAATTTTAGAAACCAAACCATTTAGTTTTTAAGTAAATATGCAGTTTAGGACCTCCAAATATTGTTGCTACACGGATAAATAATTGAATCTTGTGAATATTTCCCACCACCACATTAAATTAACATTTGCATGTGAATACTTACAGTGCAGTTTCGTGGTCCGCTGAGCTCTACAAGTGAAAAATGGCACAAGGTTAGTGGAAAGTAAAGAGGTCAGATTTGGTTTCTTGTCATGTCAACAGGCTTTAAAATCTCAGCGTGCTCACCAGTGTACATTTCTCCTCCCGTCTCCTCATCCTGCCCTGACGACGGAGCAGTTTTTGGGTCTCGGATCTTCAGAAGGACAGCAAAAAAACAGCAAAGAAAAAATTTTAATGTTACGTGATCACATTTTTATTAGTATCATTAGTCTAGAAAGTTGTGTAATTTGGTGGGATGACCTAGAGAAACTGTAGCAGCCTCACATTTTTTCAGGATCAAATGCATTCTACAGTTCAGATCTAAGACAAAGCATTTAATTTTCTCATTTTACCCTTTACAAACAAATTTTTTAGAGAATGCAATAGCAACAGGTATCGAAATATTTCCACCTAGAAATATAGGACACTCAAAATGCTCAGTATGCTCCCAGGTATGAACATGTTAAACTAGGTCAATTTTTGTATAATAATTAGGTTACTGATAATGCAAACAAGATTCCAATGGTAAAATGGTAGCCTTAAAGACATATAGTAGTACCACCTACTGCCTAAGGGCAAAGGTAAAGTAGGGCATCCAAATAGAAAGATACACTGTCAGCCCAGTTATAATACTTCTGTGAAAAAAATCATTAACCCGAGAGGACCAAATGTGCTGGACCACCACACCGCCAAATGTTGCATAAGTCATTTTTAACAACTTACCGCTGGCAGAGCTGCTGGCTGGAGACTAATTTGTGAATGAAGTCAGAAAAGCCCCCCTTCTTCCCCTTGAGTAGAGCTGTGAGAGAGGGAGGGCAGAGAGAGCAACTTACATAAGTGTCCTAAGTAGGTTTTAATTAGATTTTAATGGTCCTGGGGTCACTTTGAATGGTCACTACACTACAATAACTGATCCTGATACATATGTTAGAGCTTAATTTTTTTTTTTTTTTTTTTTTTATGTAGTTAATTTTATAATCGTGGCAATTATACAAAATAAAAGAAAAGTATCATTGATTTTAACAAAAATGACCAATGTTATATTTGGTGATTTGGTGGTTTGGTTATATATTAGGCTCGTTTACAATATCACCAAATATAACATTGAAAATCTTTGTTAAAAGCAGTGGTACATTTCATTTATTTTCTTTTGTATAATTGCCACGATTCCAAAATATTGTAAACTAGCCTAATAGCCCATTCTCTGCAAAAAGATATGAAGAACAATGATTTCAGATAAAAGTAGGTTAATTCAAGTTCAGTGTATTCTTACCTGAGAAAAAAGTAACTATCCCCTTCATTTTGGAATAGGTCATCGGTCGATCCTGAGTCACGGTCATTGGAGCAATTTTTATCCGAAGTGGGCGCGCTGAAGTGGGCCACTAGCGCAGCCCCCGTCCCAAGCAGAAGCGGTGAACCTCCAGACTCCCAAAAGTCCTGCGCTTTTTAAATGCGCTCTGTCATATGAGGGGGTGTTGCACTGCTGCCTTCATGGACCCTCGGAGATACTGCCACTACACATGCGCGCCTACACGTTACTTGGAAACTGTATCCTGAGCCTGGTTATGACATAACACTTCAAATTAAAATGGTTAGTGTTCATTTTGTAACCTCACTGACATACTATCCAAGAATTAACAAAGTTTTGAGGAGGAAGTTGGAGTAAGTCCTTCAGGTATGCATAAATGTTACAAGATTTCTTTTATAGCTATCTCATTTTAACCCTTGTTTATGTGCGTAATTTGGAAAGCTTACGAAAAAACGCATAAACAATTAACAATGAAACTTCCTCTGTGCTGTGCTTGTGTCGAGTTGTAAAGCTCTGCAAAAAGAAAACTCAAAAATACCGCTTGTAAGTGAAGACGCCAGGGTGACCCAATGCGCGTGCGAGGAGACCACGCGGTCCAGGGGTGATTCAGGCTCGAGCTGCCCCGAACCAGCGGTCGAGGAACAACAGTGTGAGGGCAGCGGGACAGGGGGCGCGTGTCTGAGGGAGAAACATTGTGATCTATAGACAAAACACACGACAATGGAGTTTTAAGAGCTTGAATTCAAAGTAGACAATATATCTAGACTAGGGTGAACAGATTTTCCAAAATTCTAAACTGGGACACACCCGAGTTGGGATGGTTGGTGAAAATATAACTGTGAAAAGAGCATGTAACATTGTGCATTTTTGTTCAGTCATAATCTGAAGGACTTCTGTCGCTGCATTTTTTTTTATTTTTTATTTTTGCTTTATGGTCATTCGCAAACACGGATTTCTGTATTTTGGCACAACAAATGACAATTTATGCTCCTCTTTACTGTTGGCAGGGATCAGATTAGTCAAACATTGTGATAGTCCTAGTTTAGTTCTGGTTTAGATCAAATTGGTCAAAAATAGGGAAATTTCTCGTATCAAACTGGGACAACTCACTGGTTTTGGATAAATCTGCTGGGACTCTCCTGGGGAAGTAGGGACGTCTGGTCGATCTAATCTAGGCTATCATGTTTTGGGTGCTCCTGATTAGTTTTCTTGAGTTTAAATGATTATTATTATACTTCGGTTTTATTTAGTTTGGTGAAGCAGATCATAATAAAGCTAATATAAAATAAAACTCAGAACTACACTGATTTAGGTTAAGGCAAATAAACCAAATCTAATGGTCTCAAGCCCAAACTCAAGAATTTAAGTCATTTTTATTATTTATTTATTTTTCTTTCTCGTTCCCTTCCTTTTTTCCCTTTTCTTTTTTTTTTGCAATGTTGTATAACCATATTGACATTCCAAGTTTGGGCCCAGCTGACCTACATAAAAATGTAGAGCAGGTATGCAGTTCGTTTGTACAATACAGTGGGCCTTTTCATTGCTTGCACTGCATACTAGAGGTGGGTAGAGTAGCCAAAGATAGTACTTAAGTTAGATGAACGTTCCTTTAAGATTACTCAAAAGTACATACTAAGTGAGAGTAAAGATGTATTTGGGAAAGTGAACACCATGTAACATTTTGGTTGGAGAGTCTACTACTTGCATATTTTAGTACTTTGTAGCCTGATTCATCAGCCAGTTTCACTTCGTAGAAACCATCTGACGATAGGCGGGTACTTTTTTCATTTAACCAATCGCTGCTATTTGGTCGTGACGTATGTAATGCATCGCTGACAGGGCTAACTGGTATATTAAGCTTTTCCCAATTCCAGTAGGAAGAAGAGCAATAACGTCTTTCCCCTTGATAATATTCACCAAACATTGTCTTTGTTCCAGCTCTTCGATATTGGGAATCGTTGCCAACGCAGAATATATGGCTCTTTGCTGATTGGCTGGTGCCTGAACTCGCACTTTCTGGGTTTTTGCGAAACGCCTAGTGTATTCCGATTCTTGACCTAGTTGCCAAGAAGTACAGTACACCAGTAACGTTTAAAAATGTCTGATCCGTTGACTATATGTGGTTTATGGTCTTATAGTTTAGAGATTTACAATAAACATACATGTTTTTCAAGGTATTCTCACCAATCAAAACACATGAAGTCAGATTAGTTTAATGCCATACTGTCGAACACTGCAGGCCAAGCAATAACTTTTCTATTTGGACTAGTAGGTAGCAGAAAAGTTACATGGTGTCCCTTTAACATGGACTAGCTATGTTAATATAAGACTGAAATGTGGTTGCACAAATCATTGGTCACTGCTACATTCCTTCAGTGTATAGCCCCGTCTTATCCTATGTCATCCTTGTAATGGCCTAACTTGTCAACACAACCACTTTTAATGGCTGACTGATTTATAGACACTTCCCGGTAGAATTTCGTTGACATCTTGTTAAAATCATGTTCAGGGTCTTTAGAGTTTGTTAAGCACCTTAGCAGCAGCATATCATCTTTAATCTAATGACTGTAGTTGCATAACGATTAATGGAGTTATATAAATTTGTAAACACCAGATTATCTTCCCAAGTGATAATGTAATAGTTTGGCTTATGCTAGTATCCCTGGAGATCCAAATGAGGTTGGCTTATGTTGTTGCTATGCAGGTGTACATAAAAATAGGCTGGTGTATATAGTAATTACAGATACTGAATTCTTTTTTTGTTTTTCGTAGCAAAGATGCCTAATTTTGTTCTCCCATATATCTAAACACAATGAGAAATTTCAAGATTTATTAAAAAACAGGTAAGTAACAGATTGATATTTAAATTTATCATTTCATTTTATGTTTGATCATTTTTACACTGCAGAAATCTGTGGAAACCTTGAACCAAAAAAAAAAACTAAATTAACACACTGCAAAAAAACTAAATTGTCAAGTTAAGATGACTTGAATTAAGAAAGTTTTAGCATGATTTGAGTAAATTTCACTTGACAAGTAAAATTATTTGCCAGTTGAACAAGACTTTGTGTGCTTAAAATATGAAAATACATTTTGATACAATTAAAATAAGAGAAACAACAACTTTTTGCACTTAAGAAACAATATCGAATGCTGCTTGAATTAAGAAAAACACACTTATTCCATTGGTTGATAGTTTTACTTAGTTGAATCAACTCAAATAAAGTAAAATGTTCTTAATTTAAGTCATTTAAACTTGTTTTCAAGTGTACACATTGAATACAGCCTTAATAAAGAACAGTCACTTCATAATGAGCAAATAGTTTAGTAAGAATGATTCAGGCTTAGTAACTACATAATTTATACACTTCTGTCTAAGCCTGAATCCTTCTGTTTGCTCATTATGAATAAGTCCTTGCTCATGCTTTGTTAAGACAATTAAGGAGGGGTTAGAACAAAGTGATTAACAAACGATAAACTGTCTTTATTATTGCGATAGTGCCAATTAGGTTAATGTCACAGTATTAGATCAACAAATGAAATAAAGGGAAGTATCAGGTGGCAGTGGCCAGTTGCAGAAATGGGACACGGGCCGTACGTCAGATTTGCCTCGGGGGTTTAAATTTGGAGCAGGAGGTTGAGGGTAGGACTGGTACATGGTGTCTTGGTTACTCTTGCAGAAAGCTGATACTTCACACAGCAACAGGGGGTGGTTTCTTACTGTTCAGGTTCTGCTTAGTATTAGCCCCCCTCCTTAAAAAAAAATCTTGAAAATCAGTTCAAAATAGGGCTGCATGGACAAAAAAGTTATTATATTGTGATTTTTTGTGTGTATTGCAGTTATATTTGCAATGTATGTTTAAAAAGTTGGATTTTGTTCAGGGTGCACATTGCAAACAACTCTAGGAGCATTAACATTTGAGAGAAGACTGAAAAATTAACTCATAAACTAATTACTGAGTTTCGGCTTCCTGTTTGATGCAACATTTTGAGGACTTTTTTTTGATCGCTTTGACAACAGTCCTAATTCCTCATTATTCTGAAACCTAAGGATCCAAAAATCCCATCAGACCCATTTTCAGAACATGTTTGCAGAGGTCTAAACTACAGCACAACAGGAGCTTTCATATTAAATTATCTAAATAGTGGCAGCCTTTGCGATTTGTTAGCTGTGCCAACTCAAATTTCCAACTAGTTGCGAAATATTGTGCAGCTCTACGTCAAAAACTGTCCCCTTCTCTTCTCTTCTTCACCTCACAAAGCACTGGACACTGGACGTACCTAACCCACAAAACTCATGTGCCCACCCCATGACCCCATGTGGGCGGGCTGGATTGAACTGGTACTGCCTCTGCCAGTGTGGAAACTGACGTCAAACTGTACAGAAGATAAAATGGGTTCACAGGCACACAGGAAAATGCACACTCACTGAAAACCCACACAATGCTACTATTTAATCTGGCTAAAATTGTAAAAGATAGATATACTATACCCTAAGAATATACTGGACAAATATAACATCATTTTTGTTCAGAGTGATTTGGTTAAAACTTAAGAAGATATAGGTCAGCAATAAAGAAGGGCTAATCTAATCATCAGTCACTACTATGTTACTTTTATTTGGTTAAAAATGTATTTAAAATGTCAGGGTACATTAAAAAATTGCTGAACTAATTGCAGAAATTATCTCTATGGATTCAAAAATGTGTTAAAACGACCTATAGGCAATAAAAAGTGAGTAAATAAATATAGATAAATGATTTTTAACTTAAATATGGAGCTTTTTGTGACTATGGTTGAGAATTGTAGCTTGTATTGCGCTTTTAATGTTTCACTTGTAGAAACACCATTTATACTAAGATATATTGTTCAGTGGAATTTCTTTAACACATAATTTGTAGACTGTTTAACTGAGGAGATTCAATTATACTTTTCCTCTGTCTTATATACTAAAAAATACCGTACAATATACAACATAGAGTCCAAAAGGTCGACAAATATGACTGAAGCGCTGAGTGAGCAGAATTTAAGCTGCAGTACTTAATGTCTCCTGCAGATGGCGGTGATGAGCTAGGAGCCTGAAGAGGACACGATGGAGCTCTTCCACCACTGTAACATTTAGT